ACCATCAACGTGACGCTGAGAGTTCCCTCTACTATGCAGCGTTGCCAGGCTTAATGTCACAATGATCATGTTTTATTGGGAAAATTGTCAGAAATCGCCGAATGTTGAACAGAAACATTACAAGAAGTCTAATCTTGAAATGTGAGGCTACAAATCGATATTCTTATAGGGGGGAAGGGTAGGGAGCTGTTATGGTTCCTATTAACCTTGGTGAAAGTTGGAAACGGTAATATCATATATGGCATACATTCGGTTGAAGGTGTGTGCACGGAAAATAGATTGCGGATAGGATTTTAATAGATAAATCTGCACAAAAAAACACAAAAGGAGATTTTTGTATTTCCCTAAAGAATATCTCAAGGTTATTTCAGATGTACTCATCGAAACTTTATGGAAGGATTATCGAAACCTTATTTTCAATTGCGATAGGGCCACATACCTCGACATCGCATTAATGTGAAGAATAAGACAATAGAAAAAAATTCCCTCACTGATGCTATCTCTTAGGAAAAATTTAACTATAAAGATTGCACAAAAATTTTCTTCACCTTTTTGAGCTTGTTTTCGCATCTCCGTATATGCCGTTCATAATTTGCTGCAGATCAAATTGGAATATACCTTTGTGATGCCATTTATTGTTATATAATGTCCTTTACAACAGTTATTGCACGTATTGCACCAACATATTGATTTGTGATCCATGCGAATGTGATCAACCACTCTGGCGAAAACTCGCCGAGCGTGGCAACCGTGCGACTTTGTCTGGAGGCTCGTCGCTACAAGCCAATCAGGAAGAGGCCGACAGAGCGCCATGGCTACCGATCACGCGTTGATCACGAATCAACCACTGTTTACGATTACTTTGTAGCTTCGTTAGATACACTTTAGGTGTAAATGGACTACGATAGGCTACGAAGCGAAACCACGGGCTTAGTCTATTAGAGAATGAATATTTTAATCATTGCAAACGCAACGACCTGATTGTGACGTTGACTTTAATTAGAAGAAAAGTACCTGTGGTCACGTGAAAAGTTTGGAGCAAAAAATTATCCCACGCTACCATTGAGTGCTGGAATATGAGAGTCGGATATAATTGAATTAAATAACGCAAGCACCAGAAGTAGAACGGTCATATGAGAGCTGTTGACGAGGGGGATATAATCACTCCTTGGGGTGAAATTTATCTAATTATGTCGACGAATGTAAAAATATCGACAAAAGCATATCCAGCAACGACACTTGCGTGCGATGAAGGCTCGTAAATTATTTTACAGTTCGCAAAAATTGTAACGGGGTGTGTCTGTACGGTGGTAATGCGATGTTGCTGATCCCATCTGGTTACCACTGGATATCCATTAGTTGAAACAATTGAAATATATTACGAGCTTGGGCTGCAATTAGATTACTTTTGTTGAGTGCTTTTGTTAAGGTCGCATGTCCCTTTTTTCAACTGTCTATTTGGGGCAGTATTCATCTGATTATTTCACAGTATACAGTGTGAGTCTTCATAAAGTGCACATATTAAAATCAGGGAAACTACACTCTATTTCATCGACGGATAAATCATCAAAGAAACATGAATTTGATTTTTTATGAATATATGAATATTTTAAAATTTTTAGTAGCAGCTTCTAACCATATTGAAATAACTCGTTACAACTTTTAAACTAAATGTCCTATCATATTGGAATACATTTTGTAGTGATTGCTGATAAAAGGACGTGCCTGAAAAGTGAAGAATTCCAGGAAAAGTAATGACATCCATTTAGAATAAAGAAAATTTTGATGAAAATCTGTTTTTTTTTTTCATCATTTGTACAATAATTTCAAATTTTCTATAAATATCATCCCTAGTACCCTACCTTTTTTTATTTGTAAGTTATTTTACATGTTATCAGCTTTATAAAAGTAAAAATTGCACGTTTATTACTCAAATGTAACAGTTTCTATGAGTGTTTATAAAAAAGCCCATGCATATCGTTTTGCTAGGCACCATTGTTTATCATGTAGATACCTTTTTTTGGTGATTCAATGTAGAGTCGCGCGGGCTGAAGTACGAGTGGGGAGGCGGACCCAGTTGAAAAACAATTGAATGTTGGGCAGTTAGGCAGCTATTTATGTTTCTCCTGCCAACTTTATCAGTTTCGTTTGCTACATATCACGCTTTCGCTTTTTGGTCATTATTATTATGGAATGTACCGAGTGAGTACTAGAGCTGCTTGCACAGCTTATCTAGCTGCATTTCCAAATCGACGCCCTGTTCCATCAGCCCGTAACTTTCAAGAAGTACATAGAAGACTGGCTAACACTGGACTTGGTTTGCCTCGAAGAAGCCATTTTGGATGATTTGTTTGCTGACCCGACTACTAGTACGAGACGTTTGGCGTTACGTCATGGCGTATCCCAGAAATCGGTTTGGCGCATCTTGAGGAAAGCAGGGTTGCATCCATACCATTATCAAAGGGTGCAGCACTTGCATGAAGATGTGGATTGGCGTCCAAGGTGCGTTATGTCTACATGGATTTTAATAAAAACAAGAGACAATCCTGAATTCGCGGAAACAATTCTGTGGGCAGATGAATCTCAAATCTTGAACTGTCGTAATTTACATAAGTGGTGCCCAAAAGACGAAAACCCTAGTCTGAAAAAGGCTTCAACATTTCAAGTGAAATTTTCTGTAAATGTGTGGGCCGCACTGATTGACAACCTTTTGACTGGTCCAATAATACTCCCGATGACATTGAACGGAGAGAGATTTCTGGAGCTTTTGCGGACTGATCTGCCCTTGCTGTTGGAAGAAGTGCCGCTGCAAACCCGTCGAAGAATGATGCTTCAAATGGATGGATGTCCTGCCCATTACTCGCTGATTGTCAGGTCTTTTCTTAATGAAAATTATCCAGGCCGCTGGATCGGTCGACAAGGACCAATTGGGTGGCCGGCGCGTTCCCCAGATCTCACACCTCTCGACTATTTTTTATGGGGGACAATGAAACAAAGGGTGTACAGCAGTTCCATAAACAGCGAAGCGGAACTTGAAGAAAGAGTTTTGCGTGTTGCAAACGAAATCAAAAATGATCCCGTGATGATTCGTAGGGCAACTCATCAAATTTCACTTCGCGCTACAATGTGTTTGCAGCAACGGGGTGGCCATTTTGAACATTTGATGCATTAAGCCAAAATGATTATCCGATAGACAAGTCTATTTGATTTTATTTGTTAAAGATAATGAACGATTCATGTAGGTTAGTACTGTTGTTTTATTCCTACTCTGGCGTTGAACTGAGTTCACTGCTTTTTGAAACGCTGATTTAAATACTTGTATCTAAGTAATAAACTTGCAATTTTTCACCATTAGGAAGCTAATAACATGCAGAGTAACTTAACATTTAAAAAAGGTAGGGTAAATAGGACAATTTTTATTGAAATTTAGCAATTGTTTTAAAAATCATTGAAAAAGTGAGTTTCAGCACATTCCTCTTTATTTTAAATTTATAGCATTTAATTTCGTGGAAATTTTCACTTTACTGGTATGGCCTATTATTTGCAATCGCTACAAAATTTATTCCAATATGATAGGACATTCAGTTTAAAAGTTGTAACGATTTATTTAAATAGGGTTAGCAGCTGACTCTTAAAAATTTTAAAATATTCATAAAAAATCAATTATTGTTTTTAATTTTTTTTTGATGATTTATCCGTCGATGAAATAGAGTGTAGTTTCCCTGATTTTGATATGTGCACTTTATGAAGACTCACACTGTATACAGGGATGAAGAAAATAGAATGTTATAAATTTTTTGGTAAAAAAAATTATGTTTTGTGTATTTTATAATAATTAAGGAATAAAGGGAAAACTAAATCATTTTATGGAGAAAATTGACTTTAAATAGTCTTGGTTTGGACTTATTGCTCTATCGAAATTTTAGGTTCATAGCTTAATTAGGTTATTATTTTGTTTTTGTAACAAGGTAATCACATAACGAAAGAATCACTCCTCAAACTGATTAATGCAAGAAAAATGAATTTATAAAAAAATCTTATCCATTTGTGTCTTCAATTAAAATAAATTTATACAAAACGTAAAAAGGCAAAGTGTCGCTAAAAATGCGTTTTTCAACAAAACCCAACATTTTCATTGTACATTTTTCCTCAACCGTAACTTGTTAACAAATATTAGTACAGCTCTGAACGTGTATGCCACAATTCTACTTTTACAGGCGAATCGCGCGGGTGATTCTTTTATTATCACCTTTTCTCGAAAAGATTTTTTTGAAGAGAAAAAGTGATAAGAAAAAGTGTAATCACCCGCTCGATTCTTTCATAAAAGTGGAATTTTCACATACAATTTCAGAGCTGCACTATCATTTGGCGGGTAAAGGGAAAAAATGAATGTCACAAAAAATAAGTTTCGTGAAAAGTGAATTTAAGAGTTTGAAGAATCCTAGACTCGTTGTAATAAATTCCTTATCAAGAATGGAAAAAAGTTAAATTGCAAAAGATAAAATTATATACAGGGTAGCCCAAAAGTGAACTTTTTGTATTGAGAGATTCTCCTGATGATTTGAAACATTTTTATGTGTTAGGGTTGATTAACCAGCAAAATGCTTATCTTAGGTTTTACGATCTGTTCTAATATGAGAACAACCTTAACAGGAAATTTATCACACAGGGCTTATAACATGAGAGAAAGATGATTTTCTAACCTCAATAGCTCAAACGCAGAATTATTTTCAAGTATTTTTTTTTAAATTGGGACAAAGAGACAATGAGCAAAAAAGTTCTATTCAAAAGAACAAATAAAACACAATTAACTTTAACTTATAATTAACTTATAATCAGCAGGCATTTCGTTGTACAATTTGGGGCAGAGATAAATCCAGGAGCGTTGTAATAATGACTTTTCCGGCCTAGGTACCATTATGTGCCTAGCAACTTTCTGGCGAGTATCATATTTGTGAGCGATTTCCTCATGAAATGATTTATTTTTAAAGTAGTATACCATGCAATTATGAATAAAGGTTTGCCTAATGTCCATAATTCCAGACTCATGGTATAGCTCATTAGATGGATGAGTTTTGCTCTTGCTATAAAGAATTTTTAATAAATATTTTTGGGCAATCTCCAAGTTCTTTATGTATAAATTGCTGAATCGCTGCTTTTTCCATACGCTCCAACGTCTATATAAAGAAAATTGTAATTAGCGTCACACAGAGCAAGTAGTACAATTGAAAAATAATGCTTGTAGTTGAAATATAGTGATCCAGTATGCATCGGTTTTGTTACTCTCATGCGTTTCCCGTCAATGGCGCCGATGCAATGAGGGAAGTTTGCGATTGTTTCAAATCCTCTTGCAACTTTGTCCCAATCATTTTCTGTCTTTGGTAGACCTATAAACTGTTCCTGATATTGACATATAACGCTACATACTTCTCTAATTATTGTGCAAATTGTTGTATGACCGAGTCTGTAGTTGTAGTAAAGTTCCATGAGTGAACATCCTGACGCAAAATACCTAAAAGAAAATATAACATCATTATTGGACTGCAATAGGCTGACTGATTGATTGATGAATGGATATACTAAACTTATTCATTTTTTTCAGCTGATACTTTGCAAAAAAGGTGGAAAAGTATTCGTGGTTGCTTCACACGAGAGCTGAACCGGCAAAAATCTTTGAAGTCTGGGTCTGATCGTGGACCACGTAAAAGCGAATATATATTTTTTAAGCAACTGCTTTTTCTCCAGAAGGTGGTCGCGTTGAGAGAGTCTGAGGTCGAAGAAAAATCAAAAGAGTCAGATCCTGATGATGAAGCTACAAATCCTGATACTGAACAAGACTTGCAACAAGGCAGTCAAGCTTTAAGTTGTCCGAAAAGAATGAAAACCAAAAAGAATAATGCACCTGAAGATGACAAATTTTTAGAAGCCCTTAACAAATCCATCAAAAGTAGAGAACAATATGAGGTTGAGAATCAAGATGACGACAGGTTATTCATGCTGTCTTTAGTTAGCACCTTAAAAAACGTGCCTCCTCAAAAAAAAAATGGCAACTAAAATGAAAATAATGTCAATTCTTGATGAAGCAACCCGCCCTGTGCTCAACATTGATGATAGTACATTATACCGTCAAAACTACTGGTCACAAACAGAATCGTCGTCGTCACAAAGTTATCACCCTGGATATTCTACTGTTCCTAGAGAAACCCAACCCATGATAAACAGCACTGAGTATTTATCTAGTGAACCGTTTAGTGCACCACCGTCAAATATGACAAATGTTTCAGAAGATTCCTCCATTTTAGATGTACCTATATGATTAACTTTAGATGTTTCATTCTTGAAAATTTGAATAAAAAACTGCTTACCTCAATGACACAAATAGTTTTTCTTCCGCACTAATCGATTTTCTAAATATCGTAGGATGAACCCATAGTTTCTTTTTTTTCTTTTCTTTTTTCATTTTTCTGCCACGTATATAACAAAGAAGTGCAATTTCTTCTGCGTCCATTCTTGAGAGATGACACGAACTGACTGTCGAGATGCCATGGCTACTCGCCTTGGCGACCCTCGGATGCCACACGTAGCCAGGCCTGCGTCGCCGGCGACGTCGCCATGGCGTCCCAATGAGGCAGAGCTCTAAGTGAAGCCAGCTCCTCCCCAGCCAAGTATTCCATAGCAAAGATGTGACTGCACAAGTGCGAAGTATAAGATTCTCATGCAATCTGTATTAAGGATGTTTCTAAGACATTTGAATTTTGGAATGAAGCATCTTATTTTCTTTGTCACATATTCGATTTGAACATCCCATCTGAGATTTTGATCAATATATATTCCCAGATATTTAGCGCTGCTTTGACGTTTAATGGTTGTCGTATAGTTTCCTATTCTGACATTTATTTCGTTATATTGTGGCATATGGTTTCTATAGGATGCGAAAGGTACAAAACTAGTTTTCTCAGAGTTAACTGTGAGTAGCTTAGTGTTGAAATATGCTAGTACGTTGGTGAGATTATTTTCGATTTTATTTTTAAGTGCGGGCCAACTTGAGTCTTCATAAATTATGACAGTATCGTCCGCGAATCCTAACACTGTACCTCCCGAATCCATTGAGAACAAATCATTAATATATATATTAAATAATATTGGCCCAAGAACAGTTCCTTGTGGGATCCCATAGCATACGTCTTTATAATGACTGGTCACGTTATCTATTTTGACACACTGCTTTCTGTTATTTAGGTAGCTCGACATTAAGTCTAAAGTAGTTCCCCTTATACCGCTAAGCTCGAGTATTTCCAACAGCTTGTCATGACTAATGGTGTCGAAAGCTTTGGTTAAGTCTATAAATATGCAAATGGCAGGGATCTTATCGTTAACTAGTCTGTACAGTTTTTTGGATAGTGTAGCTATTGCATCTTGCGTTGATATGCCTTCTTTAAATCCAAATTGATTTTCATGTAAGACGTTATACCTATTGAAAAACTTTAGTAACCTTGACTTGATTAGTTTTTCTAAAATTAATGGTAACTTCTAGAAATGATTAATTAACGTTTATTTCTTTAGTCGCAGATTGATGAATCATGAATTATTGTAGTAGCAGCGCCACCTTCAACTAAAATTTCACTGATTGTTTCTAATTTATAAAAATAAATTTTGTCATTAGTCTTCTTCACCAACCAATGTTCAGGGATTTTAATCATTTTAGAATAGTTTTCCAATAAATCTGAGAATCCTGTAATTTTGTCTTTTTCCTGAAATTCTGAAACCAAATTCTCATGCCTTTGAAGGATCTTATCTTGTCTGATGGCAGGATCTGTTCTACTAGAAACTTGACGCTTACTTAGATAAGATGGCACATTTGGAAAGACTGATGGAACAGCACCTTCTGAAAGTTTTGGACGACTCAGTGTGACTGTGTTAGCTGATCCATCCTGCAGAACATAAGTTTCCGTACGGACAATTTCTGCTTGTTGAAAATGTGCATCACAAACAACAGAATCTTTAGAAGGCGACCAGTCCTTTCTTGGTATTGAAGCTAGCCACTTACTTTTCAACTCCTCATTTTTTGGAAATCGAAACACTGACCTGTAGGGTGTCGATCTCAATTCTGCCTCGTAGTTTCCCTTGCAGCCTGGTACACAGCAACACTTAGGCATATTAATTAAAAGAAAAGATGTACCCACTCGAATCTACACACCATACAGACGTTTCTAACAAGCACCGATTCACACACATTTTAAACACATCAAAGCACGATTTTATACTACCTAAAATAAATACTTTCTGCACGGTTTGATGAGCAAAACTAAGTAGATTACTCTGGTTTGTATGAATTGCACTGTTCCCAGAGATCTTCAACAAAATTGCACCAAAAAGTCGGAGGTTAGGAATATAAACAAACGAAAAGCCCGGCAAACACCTGTCTGTGGAAGACCCCAAAGCTGCGTTGCCATATCTATTGTTCATGGCTCGTTAGTTGAAGGTAGCGCTGGTAGTAGCTACTAGTCTCGGTAACGATCAGTGGACGTTCATATTTTTTTTGTACAACGGCTGTGATATTCAGCTTTTTTTCCCTGCACAGCAAGTTTTCAATTGTGATAACTGTGGAGTGTTATTTTTACGTGTAGGTATCCGATACCTCATGGGATTGTACTGCATTAAGACTACATGTTGCCGGTTCTAGCTACAAAACATCTAATTTGTGACATGCATATTTTTCCCCTGGACCCTCCGTTTGTTAACAAATTACGACTGTGACCAAAAAGAAACCAATAACATGGTTTTTCATCTCTATACACACCATGAAACAATCAGACGATATGTATTAAGAATACTCTTATAACCAGCCTGTTGAAAATAAGGTACATGCGACGTTAAGTATTCTTATTATGTCCTCTGAGGACTACTTAACAACTATGGTAGTGGTATTATGTATATGCAAAGGAATGACGAATCATCAATCCATGCCGAATATTTTGATCTGACTCCAAGACATCATTGATCTTCGGTCTTCACCTGCATCTTTTTCAATCATCCCTAACAGCCATCTGTCACGATACCTTTTGTGCTGAATGTAGCACGCTGAATGCCGTACTTAACTAAGGGTACTATCTGACAGCATTTAGTACATGAGCTTGTATGAACAAATTCAGTTCAAGGACTTTTAGAAGCTGTTCTAAATAAGTTGTTACTAAAGGTATGCATTTTGACTGTACAGTGGCCGTCAGAGATGCCAATCATACGTAAAAAAACGACAATGCCAAAAAAATCGATAAAATGTCAACTTGTACGCTACGAAGCCGCTAGTGTACTTCCGCACCTAATACAAGAGAATGTCAGCTAGTTCGAAAGTGGCATTTTATAGGAAATCCACACTATTCCGGAATACCGGCCCGTACTATTCGTGTTGTTCACAAAACATTGTTAATTTTGGTCCAAGACTTCCATCCTTCAAGGAAGGATTTCAGCAGTTTTAGAAGCCAAGAAGAAAAACCTTTTTGGATTAGCTTATAGAGGAGGCGCGCGTGCCACACGTTATTAAAGTCTTTTGAGCCATCCAAAAGCTGAGGGTGAACCCTCTGGTTATACAGGGTGCGGCAGAGAGGACGGACGTTTTTGGGATAGGTAGTACGCTCCGCCTCCATCTACTAGAGAGGTGGGGAGGGTGCCGCTTGACTCGTGAGATCCTAGCCTTATTTTATCAGTTGTTGTTATGGAGCCTTGGACGGTGGAGCACCGCGTTTTCGCCTGTGATTGTTTCTTCTGAAATATGAGTCAGTCATCGTCGTACAGCGTGAGTTTCGTCGCCACTTCAACTTTCATCGGAATAGAGCTGTTCCCTCCCGAAACACCATCCTTCGTTGGATTGAATCACTTCGCAGGCGTGGTGAACTGATCAACAGAAGACCAACAGGAGCGCCGCGAACAGTTCGAACTCCTGAAAATGTTGAACGCGTTCGACAGGTCTTTCTTCGCAGTCCGACTGGATCTGCCCGGAAACGTGCTGCTGCACTTCGCCTTAATGATCGTTCGGTAAGGCGAATTTTGCATATGGACCTCCGCTTTCACCCCTACAAATTGGCCATTGTGCAACAGTTACAGCCCGGAGATTATGCACAACTAGTGAACTTCGCACGTGAGATGGAAACACTGATCGATCAAAATTAGAACCTCATTTTGTTTATGAGTGACGAAGCCCACTTTCACCTAAACAGCATGGTTAACCAGCAGAATTGTCGTTATTGGGCTAATGAAAATCCGAACAGTTACACGTAAGACCGCTGCACATCCCAACAGTAACAGTTTGGTGCGCTGTATCGCAAACTTGCATCATTGGCCCTTACTTCTTCGAAGACGGTAATGGTCGTGATGTTACCGTGAACTCGGAGCGCTACGTCCACATGATCACCAACTTCTTTCTCCCTGAATTACGACGGCGACGTGTTCCAATCCGACATGTGGTTCCAGTAGGATGGGGCGACCGCCCACACAGCCCGAGCATCCATGGACGTTATTCGCCCTCTCTTCCCTGGTCGCCTTATTTCCAGGTTTGGCGATGTTCATTGGCCTCCTCGGACCCCAGATTTATCCATATGCGATTTTTTCTTATGGGGACACCTCAAGGCTAGAGTATACGCGAACAAACCCCGAACTCTGGACGAATTGAAGGGCGAAATTCGCGTGGAAGTCGCCCAAGTTGAGAGAACGATGTTGGAGAGAGTCTACGCGAACTTCCAAGAACGCTTCCAGCACTGCATCAACGATTTCGGCCACCACATGCATGATGTGATTTTCTACACTTGACTGTCTCAAATGCTATTTCCTTGTGAACCTGATTCCATCAATAAATTTGTTTTCGAGTAAAAAAACTATTTTATGATTTTTTTAAAACCGTCCATCCTCTCTGCCGCACCCTGTATGTTCTACCAGCCTGACTGCTTGTAGCTCGGTACTATGCTCAGATATAAAAAACCTCATGGCAAAAAATCGATTTAATGTCACTTTTCAAGTTACTTTATAGAGGAATTCCAGCATATTTGGAATACTGGTTTGTTTTCTGAGAATGAATTGCAATATAAATAGCAAAATGAAAAATGCATTAAATTATTGGGAAATTGTTAAATTTTAATGATATAAACAATCAAACAAAACAAAAACCAGGAAGCCTATCAAAATATTTATCAAGAGTGTAAATTCATTGAAAGTGCAGGTAATTTGGAATATAGTATTCTAAATTATAATTACCTGTTTTGACAAATGTTTACAATTTTTGTAAGAAACTAATAAATTTCTCAGCTTTGTAACCGTTTTACATCCTTTGGAAATTGATATCTTTAACAAAATAGCTGGTTATTATTATAACTTTTAGTTTAGTATGCTTAGTTACTGTTGTTACAATAATCGCAGATATATACACCGGATTCATAACTACTGCAAGCAGTGTGAACTCATAATTCGCACAACACCTATTTCAAATTAACAACGTGACATCCTAACTTAGAATTTCGTGTCTCAATTTCAATTCTAAGTATATCCAAAAAATCAAAATAAAATTGTGAAACTAACAAGGACACATATGAGTTCAAATAATTGCAATCAAGATTTTACGTGTCATAGTAAATTATTGTCAATGATTGCATTCTTACCGAAAAAGTTTTCGTCTCGTTCCCGTGAGGCTGGTAGCAGGAAATGTTAAGACTTCCTGTTTTTAGTGCTTGTGGTTTCGTGTAATCTACATTATATTCACGGCAAAAAAAATACATTTATTTCGATAACTAAGTATTCCAAGTCACCTGCAGTATTCCAAATATGCTGGGCTTCCTCTACGGATGCCGGTTCACACGTAAGAAAAGTGTTAATATGTAGGCAACATATAGCTAACAAGTACGAATTTTACAGAAATCGCGATCTGATACGCAGTTTCAATTCGACTTCAAAATATGTATGTTTCCTGAAAATGAATATTCCAGTTATATCCAAAATACTAGTAACACCATATGGGTATTTATGTTGAAATATTCGCTCGATGTTTCGGCTGAATTTAACTATGACAATTATATGTTAATCCTCAAGCTCACCACTCATTAATTTAGTGCCAGTAATTGTGAAAGAACCTTTAATTACATTATCCTGAAAATCAAGTCCATTAATGTGGGATTAAGTCTTGCAGGATCATATTTTACGATATCCGATCTACTGTTGCATTAGTACGTACAGTAAATGCATGAATACTGATATAACATATTTCAATGTAAATTTCGAGATGGTTGTGAGCCGTTTTTTTTCAAATGGAATAGAGGGTCAGTTTATTTGAAAGACCCCCCAGAGTGTGGGTTCATCTTTCAAGGTGGCGGACTGGCGAGCTGTCAAAGTTTTGTTTTTTTGTTGACTGAATCCCTTATAACTCAACAACTAATCATAACACAATAGTAAGGTACCTAGGTTGATTATAGCCAGCCGCTAAATATACCCCCCCCCAACAATTGAAGTAGTCGAATCATTAAAATATCTGGGTATATATTTGGATAGTAAACTACTGTTTCACGAGCATTATGAATACATTATTTCAAAAATCTCAAAAGAGATGAATTACTTCTATACAGAGTGTTTCAGTTTATTGTTGCACTACTTTAAGATTCGATAGAACTTTTAAAATTAATGCATAAAGTCTATATAAACATGGGTCGAAAAATGCGTGCTTCCGAAATACAGGGTGTTTAAATTTACTTTCTAAAATAGTTTTTTTTTACTATTTCGAAAAATATTTGATGTATAACCGTGAACATTGGTATACAAGGGTTTTTTGGTACGACAAAACTAACCATGGGCATAGTTTTACTGTAGCCGCTAGAGGGCGCTCTCTACTGTACCTGTAGTGTATTAAAATGACCGACAAAATTTTCTTAGTGCAATTTTTTGCTTTTTGAATAAAAAAGCTGATTCTTCGTACTTTTCAACATAAAAAAGCTCTCTTGTGAATTTTCGCTATAGTTAGCCGTTTTTTGAGATATTTCGATTTTTAAGGTTCGATGCATTTTTAATTATTTATGATAAAATAACGCTAAAAAGTCACTATCTGGATAATTTTTAGAAGTAGGCTGTGCCTGCAAATATTTTTGAAATTGAAAGCAGAATAAGGTTAAACGTCAATTAGTTGACAGTTAGTCTTGTTGTCTGTTGAAACCTGAAACGATTTTTTGCAATTGTGAATGCACGAAATTTAGTTTCTTTTACCTGTTTTTTTGTCAGTTTTATAAAAATGCCATTTTTATTCTCCAATCAAGAGTTAGCGGATATTCATTTTGTGTATGGCTTTGTAAATGGAAACGCAGCAGAAGCAGCCAGAGAATACGCACGAAGATTTCCAAACAGACGACATCCAATTCGCTCAGTATTTGTAAGAGTGCATCGCCAAATAATTGAAAATGGTTTTGGAAATCTCCAACGGGATCAAAACACAAATGTTCGTCAGCGCAGATTTACCCGTATGATTCTGCGTGAGTTTGATAGAGATCCGACCACAAGTGTTAGGAGAGTTTCTGGTGCCTTGGGAATTTCAGCAAGCCATGTTCACCGTGTTCTTAGAAATGACCATAGACGTCCTTACCATTTGCAACCTGTGCAAGGACTACAGCCAGGGGACGGAGAACGAAGAATCACATTTTGTCAGTGGATTCTTGATAGAACTGATAATAATAAGGAGTTTTTAAGTAACGTTTTATGGACCGATGAGTCATGCTTCACTAGACGTGGCGTGGTAAATTTTCATAATCAACATATTTGGTCGCATGAAAATCCGCATGCAGTTCGGGAAAGAAATTTTCAGCATGAATTTAGTGTGAACGTGTGGATTGGTATCTACCGTAATCGACTACTTGGACCCTACCTTTTGCCTGCAAGGTTAAATGCTGCGACCTTCTTGGAATTTTTAAAGGCTGAACATGCAAATATGTGGGATGATGTTATATTAGATTTAAGAAGAATGACCTGGTTCCAGCTTGATGGTTGTCCAGCTCATTATTCGATAATAGTTAGAAACTGGCTGGACGAAAATTATCCAGAAAGATGGATCGGCCGTGGAGGACCAGTCGCCTGGCCTCCACGATCCCCTGACCTAAGTCCATTAGATTTCTTTTTGTGGGGATTTATAAAAGAAAAAGTGTACCAGACTCCCGTAACCACAAGAGATATGCTAATAGACAGAATCAGGAATGCATGTGATGAAATAAGGCCTTATTTGGATAATGCTATACCACGTTCGATCATTCGTAGATGTGAATTGTGTATTGAACAATTTGGTTTACATTTCGAGCAACTACTTTAGATTTTGTATGTTTGTCCTAATTATCCAATAGCATTTTAGTTGTAAATAATTAATTTAATTTGTTAAAAACAATATTGGAAAATTAAACAAATTAATATTCTGTTTGTTTGTGTTTATTTGGAGTTAGGAATTATTGCTGTGTTTAAAAACACAATCTAAACGATCATCTTAATTACTTGTAATGCCCAAATCGAAAATGTAAAAAAAATATTATTTTCCCATAAATAATTAAAAATGCATCGAACCTTAAAAATCGAAATATATCAAAAACGGCTAACTATAACGAAAACTCACAGGAGAGCTTTTTTACGCAGAAAGTGCGAAGAATCAGTTTTTTATTCAAAAAGCAAAAAATTGCACTAAGAAAATTTTGTCGGTCATTTTAATATACTACAGGTACAGTAGAGAGCACCCTCTAGCGGCTACAGTAAAACTATGCCCATGGTTCGTTTTGTCGTGCCAAAAAACCCTTGTATACCAATTTCCACTGTTATACATCAAATATTGTTCGAAATATTTAAAAAAAACTATTTTAAAAAGTAACTTTAAACACCCTGTATTTCGGAAGCCACGCATTTTTCGACCCATGTTTATATAGACTTTATGCATTCATTTTAAAAGTTCTATCGAATCTTAAAGTTATGCAATAATAAACTGAAACACCCTGTATAGTTTCCCATAATCTTAGTATGTATTTCAAAAAAAATGTGTCTAACACCATAATTCTTCCCCATATTTTATATTGTTCAACCATCCTGTTTTCAGCAACTGAAAATATATTTTAAAAATTACAGATTCTACAAAATTCTACAAAATAAAGCTATGAGAATCATTTTAAATGAGAACAAATATGCTAGGATTAAGACTATATGGTTGAATGTGAAAAATTTCATATGTTATTTAGTTCTCATGTTCGTATTCAAATTGAAAAATCATTTATTACCACCACATTTAGAAACACAACTAGAGGCATTATTGATTTTCATCTACAAAATTTAATAAATTGAATAATGATATTGAACAGTGTTATGTTTAAGGTGAAATTGAAAAATTACTTTATGAATACTCAAAATGCATCGTGATGTAACTTTAATAGACAAGAATGTAAAATTACAGTAAATGGATTGAAGAAAGAAGTGTAGGCGAATAATTATTCAAAATTGACTTTGTAGAACGAATGCTAAATAAATCTACAACAAACAAACAAAAATATTTTGACTGTTTTTGAAACAGAATGTTCAATATATTATTACATACTCGTACACCGATCGGTTCTTCCAACAGAAGGTTGACATAATATACCGTTTCGATAACTGGATCTTATATCCCATTTAATGTACAAGTCTGACCGACTGCCAGTGTGTTACTATTGAAGATAGCGATTCAATGGTCTAGAAATCTAGGACTATAGAGTACTCAGAAGTAGAGGTCGAGAACTATCGATACTTATCGATAGTTTGGACTATCGAATACTATCGATATTTTTCATGAACTATCGATAGTATTCGATAGCTCTAGCCATTCGAGATTGAACACAAATATATACAGAAGATTAACCTAACCATAACCCTATTTTATGGTTGATATAAAAGAAAAATGTAATAAAAACCGTGTAACGTGTAGTAAAGTACAAAATAAGAGGAAAAGTGAAAAGTTAAAAAGAACGTGGTCGTGGTTCGTGGTGTTAAATATTTGTTGGCGCCATTTGACACAATTTAGTACATAGTACAATACATGTTTTTTGAATATTTGTAACAATGGAAAAATTCTTGTTAAACAGAGGTGAGAAGTATCATTATTCTTGTGTTTAGTAGAAATATTTTGTAAACAGTACTATCATTTTAAGGTAACAATCAGAATAATGCTGAACCCCAACCGAGTACCTCAAAAGAAAGGTCTGAATCCGAAGATAACCAGGGTGAAAAAGAAGTTTCTGTGAATGTGAAGACTTCCAGAGAAAGACAAACAACTTCTAAAACAAAAAGAAAGCGTGTGTCAGCTGTATGGGACTATTTCAAATATCTGGCGATCGAAAATTAGCTAAGCGTGTTAAATGTGGAAAAGAATACAAAACAAGTCGCGACACAAGTATTTTTTTAGATAAGCGGCAAGGCGTTACCGCCTATGGACGAATGTGCCATTAAATATCTATGTGTTCCAGCGACCTCAGTAGAGAGCGAGAGAAACTTTAGTGCTGCAGGGCAAGTCATACAGGATAGGAGATCCAGACTAAAACCAGCCAATGTCGATAAATTATTATTTTTGCATAAAAATAACAGTTTGTAGATGTTAGAAGGTAAAGGATGTATAATAAATCGTATAGTCCTTATTTTTTTAACCCAATATTCAAATTGTTTCATTCCGGAAATACTATCGGAAACTACCGATAACTATCGATAGTTTATGCCTTAACTATCGATAACTATCGATAGTCTCCACTATCGACAGTTCTCGACCACTACTTAGAAGGAGCTTTAAGATGAGGTATCAACTTACCCCAAATTCGGATTTAAAGACAAATCCAATGTTCCGTTTACGTAAGAAGATTGTATTTCATGCATCAATATCATCACCAGTGGCGCAATTAGGGGGGGCTGGGGGGTCTTAGCTCCACCAAGCTCAAGATTAGCCCCCCCAAACCCGATGGTCACAAACATGATGGTAATGCCACAGCTTAGCTATCCCACGCCCGATAGTCACAACATTGCTATTAGTGCCATGTCATTACCATATCAGTATATACTTTGTTTCAAGTGGCAATAACGTTACCAGTGACGTTTGCCACGTGCGAGAGGTCATTCTCTATTATGCGGAGCATTTTGAATTGGCGACTACTTTCTATGGGCCAAGAAAGATTTTCTGCAGGCTCATCAGACATATCTACATTATTATCTACAAAATCTAAAAATATATTCAAGTATAAATACATAAATCTGTCGAAAAGCAGCGGTTAAAATGGGAAGAAACACGGTTAGTCGAAAAAGGGCAAAGGACGCATGTGTGCGCGAATGAAAACATACACTAAACAAGCAGATACAATAATAAACGTAACAAGGTGTGAAAGAAGTAAGTACAATAACAATAGAAAAAATAAAAGGTACACATATATAAGTATCAGAACGCTAATATATATATATATATATATATATATACGGGGTGGCGCATCGAAAACGAAACAGACGCATTTACTGGCAGCTCAGTTTTTTTTCTTTTAAAAACGCTCAGACCCGTCGATTTTGTTTTCGAGGGGGACACAAGTTTGGTAAAAAATTACGTTAAAAGGTGCAGCCCCCTAAGTGGGGGTGACACCACCTCCAAAATCTTAAATGAAAAGGGGGGTCGAGTGATACCTTATTTAAAAGGTCTTTCAATTCCCTTTAAAATGATATAAAATTAATGTACTTCAGTTCAGTCATTTAAAGCTTAAATAAAACTAATACATCATCATTAGTGGAGATCAACACATTTGGCAGCAAAGTAATTTAAAAATAAAGAATGAACTGACCCGTTAGGCAAGTAAATGTTGAAAATGGCGACTATGACTATCCATGCAATAATAAAGATTTTGATCAAAACGTTGCCGCACGTTTTGCAATATTTGAAGAGTAATTTGAAGGCACTCATTCACAATTCTTTGTCGCAGGTATTCTAATGATGTTGGCTGAGTAGCATAGATTTTGCTTTTTAAATGACCCCACATAAAGAAATCCAAAGGTGATAAATCTGGCGATCCTGGGGGCCATTCAATGGCACCTCTTATACCAATCCATCGATCTGGAAACGTCTGATCTAAATATTGTCGAACACGTAATGCGTAATGTGGTGGGGCACCATCCTGTTGGCACATCAACCTATTCGCAATGTACCGCCGATCAAATTTCCAGTTAAGAAAAAAGAACCAACTAAATGATCGCCAAAATACCAGCCTAAACATTTAATTTTTGTGGCTGCTGTGTATGAACCTCATGATAAATTCTGGGATTAGAATCGGACCAATATCGGCAGTAATGAAGATTTACTACGCCATTTAAGAAAAAGGAACACTCGTCGGAAAAACAAGTGTGCAATAGAAAATGTTCATCGTTTATAATTCGTTCACTCATATCTTCACAAAATTGTAATTGCCGATCAAAATCGTCTTCATTAAGTTCTTGTACCAGGTGAATTTTATACGGATGAAAACTATGGGCCTTTAAAGTCTGTTGAACAGTACGTCAACTAACACCACACACAGTTTCCAATTTGCGGGTACCTAACGTAGGATCTACATAAACTTGCCCTAAAACCCCCACTCCTATTGCTTCGATCCTTATGGGATTTTCAATGTTCCGTTTTTTATTGGCGACTGACCCAGTTTCCCGAAATCTAGCTACAACATCTAGAACATATTTTCGATGCACGTTACTGTTCTCATGTCGCTCATTAAATATTTCTGCTGTTCTATTAGCGCACTGATTATTTCCGAAAAATATTTCGATAATTTCAACTCTTTATGCTGTGGAATATACCATGGTTAATTTATGTAATAAAGCGTTACAAGTTACTTTAGCAACAAAGTTTGGCCAAAGCAATGGAAAACTATGTACTAAATTCCTATTTAAAATTTCTTCAAGAAATAACTTTTTTGCCACAGAAAAATGCTCCAATAGCTAATTTCAACAACAAAATGATAAACAAACCAATGGCGTAGTGAAGAAAAGCATTTACTTATTAAGTAAATTCTTTTATTCAAATTTTTTCCAAAAGTAGTACAAACTAATCTGATGTACCTATTAAAGTCTACTTTAAGCTTTAAATCAATAAATCTTCAAAACTACTGAACTGAAGCTCATGTATTTTACATCATTATAGGGAATTGAAAGACCTTTAAAATAAGGTATCACTCGACCCCCCTTTCCATTTAAGATTTTGGGGTTGGTGTCACCCCCCGTCCAGGGGGCTGCACGTGTTAACGTGATTTTTTGCCAAACTTGTGTCCCCCTCGAAAACAAAATCGACGGGTATGAGCGTTTTTCCAAAAAAAAACTGAGCTGCCAGTAAATGCGTCTGTTTCGTTTTCGATGCGCCACCCTGTGTTAGCAAGTTATTATGATGAAATATTGCTCTACATGATTCTCTCCTTTTAATGTTAAATATCAGCCTTAAAATACGTTTCTGCAAAATAAACACTCTGGACGCGATGCATGCTTGTCCCCAGACGATGGTGTGATTTGACAGATGCGAATACACCATTGCGTAGTACACATCTATCAGCGTTGATTTGGGGACATTCGGCTTTAATTTCAATATAGCATAGTAGGACCTATTCATTTTCCTGCATACACTGTCAACTTGTTGCTTCCAACTTAATCCTGCATCCAACTGTAAACCCAGGAAGGTCGTATAGTACTGAGTACTGTTAACGAGACGTGGAGTACTAGAGTAAAAGTGAACAACTACCGTCTTGTCAGTATTCAAGATCAGGCGATCTGTTTGGCACCACTCTTACATCTCAGATTTTATGATTCCAATGTTAAGGTACAGATCTTCAGGAGAATCTGCAGTTACTACGGCCGATGTGTCATCAGCGTAGTTCACCACTGCACTTGAGAGCGAGAGATCGTTCATAAACAGGATGAAAAGAACTGGTGCCAATACAGATCCCCGAGCTATTAGTTATCCATAAGGATATAGAAATAAATTTGGAAGTCGTGATTGATAAGTATGCATCTAAAAACAGAAAAATAAATTTTAAGTTTTTTACCCTTTTGTCTGCTGGTCCATCCGCCTGTTTGTGCACTTAGGAGGAGTTTAATTTAAATAACTTGTTCCAGTTTTTAAATTGTTTTAGTACCAATTTAAGTTTTAAAGTCGATATATCTTTTACTTACGTATTATGTATGTATGTATACGTATATTAAAATGTCTTTTATTACTTTGTTTTTTCTTTTTAACTGAGAACGTAGGTTATATCGAGGAACAAAGTTCATAGCAGAGGATTTCCGTCAAATTCAGGCATTTGTGAAATACGTACTGTAGTAAATTTTGAAGAACATCATAAATATACTGTCACCAAATCGACTTATAGAGACCCGGGGCTCAAGCACTCCCAAAATCAGCATACCAGTTGTGCCACTGATTGTCACCCTGAACTACAGCTTGCTGAGTTGATTTGTTTAAAAGATGAGGGGCGGTCATTTTGGAAGCAGTGTATGTATAGCCCAGACAACAACATTAGGGCCGGGTCTAGGGTATATCAATAAATTGACCGATACAGAGCAAAGCTAAGGAAAGTGAAAGATTTTTTAGAAAGTTATACATATAACTTTTCGAAACGATTACGCTGAAATCGAAGGGGCCAGATGTTGGGTAAAGAATAAGCCATTTATCATCGGATTCGAAATCAACTGGAAACGAGTTTAACGTAGATGACCTACATGTAATAACAGCACGGCTTTCCCAGAACAGAATTTCCATTTTCGTCTCTCGCTGTTACAAGCTCAGGGTGCATTTCACGTACATAAAAGATAAAACTCCACGTTCAGTTCATCCAATCGAGGAAGACCTGATCGAAATGCAGTTTGATATATACTTATCAGAGGTATCTGAATATCGAGTTCTATTGAAAACATTAATAAAATCGTGGAAAAGTGATTGTGCTTTAAGTAAGAGTCCTTTCCGTCTCTCTTTGTTACAAGTGAGGTAATTTGTGGAGCTCAGTACACGAAGATAGCCTTGAAAAAGTCTTGAAAAGTCGTTAGACCGCATTAAGAAAGAAAATGGAAGGCCTGGGATCCCCATAGATTTTAGCTTCAAGGTGATTCCAGATTCTCAACACACACACGACTTAATCACATATGCCTTGTCTAGATCTCAGATACTTTTGAATTCCTAAAAGTCTTATCACATGTATGGTAATAACTATGATTTCTCCAACAAACGTCAACTTAGCGTCACCAGCTACAAGCAGCAAAGTGGATTTTTTTGTACATTTGCAGAAAAAATAGAGCCAAGTCTCAAACTGTGCACTTTCCATGCTTCGCTGTCATCAGTTCATCAAGGATCGTGTTCGCCACAAAAAACAGGCCTATAAATTAGCCCACAGTCCCCACTCTATTGTGGTCTAGAAGCTTTACTCAGCCCTACCGACAGTACCGACCATCTGGCAACGTTGCTACTACTGACCTTGGCACTCAACAGCCACCCATCAGTCAATGCATATGTTCCTTAT